GGGAAAACGCGACGCATATATTTACCTATGTTGTTACACATACAAATCGGGCGTTACTTTTTGAGGCGACTGTACATGTAGATCATTATGCGTGTATATAGTACGCATAGTGATGTACTATGCGCGCATCTGCCCATCTCTATGTGTACTCAATTTTCCCACTTTGAATATATCTCCGAAAAAAATAGACAGCATAAAACCTATCGATTACAATCTCCTATTCAAATCCAAGTCGACGAACGATCGTCATTGTCTTAACGTCTATATCCCACCGCCGAATTCCGTAGTCGTACCATTCTACAACGTGTGAATACGATGGAACAAAACAAATGAATGTGGAGATCCCGTGACTCCACTATCAAACTTCATTCTCACTTTACACAATAATCCGAAAAATGAGAATAACACCGACAGTCCAAAAATTAAATCGGAATGGGAACATCCCATCACTTATAATGTCAAAGAGGAAAGTGCCATTGATTAAAGGTGTTGTAAAGAATATGAGTTTATTTTACATTAGAGTATCAACTGATGCTGTTTTGAGTTCAGGCTCTTTTACTGTGTCGGGTGTAGCCCGGTCCATTTACTATATGGACTATGCCAGATAAAGAGAATAAGACATTATATGCCCCCACAAGAAAAACCTAATAATTTGACAAATAATGGGGAATTAATCGGAGCTCGGAAAATATTTTAAAAATATTGTGGTTAGTCTCATTTTTCATTTTATAGCATATGCTTTATTTGTAATTTGTTGTCATTTATAAATAATATATTGGTGATTTTTAGCATAATATCGCTGAATTTCAAAAACTTCGCAATCAATTCACAATTATTTGGAATATGATGAATTTCTATAAAATAATAATACGACTTCGCAATGAATTCACAATCACTACGAATTCCTGTAAAATAATAACACGTACGGTCGCAAATAATATATCAGTGTATCGAAGTTTACAATTTAAAATCCGAGAGTCTTTCATTTTATTTTTATGTAAATAAAGAGAAATGTTCATATATTTGCATAAATAGCAAGTATGGGTTGAGTAGAAAATGAATTTCTACATACAAGAATCTTTTTTATTTGCTCGAAGATAATAATTTTAGTTAGATTACGATTTAATATTTTGAAAGTTTATTCTCTTTATATCGAAAGTGGTGATTTATATGCACATTAGCGATAAAAATACATGTACTGAGCTAAATTAGCAATAACTTATGCTAAAATACACACCTTATGATTTTATTTCTAAGTAGAAAAAACTATCGGGAGTCAAATATTCAATATGGCTTAATTAGGTAATAACCTCGATTCATGTAAATTCTGATAATGATAAGAAAAAATTACAAACTTAATGTTATCATGTGATGATGTGATCTCATTTTTTTAATCGTGATATTATTAGCTGTTATTTAAACTTCTACATATCGAGATTTTAATTGGTCCCGTTATACCGAGAATCACTGTATATAGCACATAAAAAATTGGCATTTGAACAATTTTATGAAACAAATCTCATATCTTCGAATATTTCTCAGGCATGCATAATGGGATTTGGCAGTTAAACCTTCTGGCCTATACATGTATACAGTGACTCCCATAATTATGGACGAAATTTTTTAAACTTTTCATAACCCACTAACACAATAATGATAAGTTTTGCAAATTAAATTAATTTAAACTGAATATAAACAATTATTTAGATTAAACAATTGATTAATTCAAAAATTTTTAATTTAACAAAATTTATTTGCAAATTTCGTGATTCTATATTTTTGTTGATAATACAAATTCCGCAAACAAAATTCACCATCTCCCCCCCCCTAGCATGAATTACATCACAAATTCTTTATGGCAAACTCTTAATTAGCTCAAAACAGATTTCAACCTTAATCTCCCTCCAAACCTATTGTAAAGTTTCTCACAACATAACTTTACTAGAAATTTGTAACTGATAATGACATAACTACCTATCCACTTCATCTTACAAGTGTTCAATAGGATTAAGATCTGGCAATTTGGCAGGCCACTTGAGAATATTAATTTTGTTTTCCATAAGCCAGACTTGAATAGTTAATATCTTGTATTTAGGATTATTATCATGCTAAAACACAACTTCAGATTTTTTAAGATTATAATTATTAATTATTTCTAAAGATTCTTGAATAGAATTTGCTTATAAAAATTTATATTTATTTTGTTATCAATTTTGTAAAGATTTTCAATTTCATTTCAAGTAAAATAATTTCATATCATTATGTTTCCATCATCAAATTTTACTATTAGCTTTACAAATTTATTTTTAAAATCTCTTCATTATAAATACCAATAATATTATTTATTTATTTATTCAATTTAAATAACTGAAATTTACTTTTATTTGATCAGATTATCTTTTTTTAATTATTAAAAGATCAATTTAATAGTTTTTTATAATGATTAAATAAGCTTTATAATATTATTTTTGAAGTAATAATTATGATTAATATGTTATTTTAAAATCATATCTAATAAGAGTATAATGAATTGTATTAATATTATTTTTTATTCTTAGAATTTTTTTGATATTTATAGTTATTATATAATATTCATTAGTAATATAATGAAATATATAGTTTTCTTGATTTTTAGTAAGTAAATATGAATATACTTATCTTAATTTGATAAAAAAATACTATTAGTTATATATTTCTAACAGATTTTAACTATAATTAACTAACTAACTTATATTTTTTTAACTATTATTCAGATAGAATAATCTTTCTGGACCAGTACAAAAATTTTAGCCTGCTATTCATTTAGTATTACTTTTATTTGATATGAATAAAGAAAAATAAATAAATATATATTTACAAGTAATTTTTATTTTATATATATACTATTAAGTAAATACTAATAATTAATGATCAATATAAAATAATAATATAATGAAATCACAGATTTAAGAGATAAATTAGAATTAATAAAAAATTTATGAACTTTTGTTATAACCTTGCATTTTTATAATTTTAAAATTTTATGACTATTACATTATTGGTTGATAGATTATTTTAATTTAAAAAATTTTGTTTAAGTGATTTAGAGCCACTGTATAATTATTGCAAAATTAATATGAACACATTGCAGATATTGATTTTCTATGTATAATAGATATATGTAATATATTTGCAACTAATATAAGCTTTCTAACGCGTTTTTTCTCATTTAAAAGATAGAAATTTATGGAGGCGGGTTTTTTCAATTAAATGCTAATACAAGATAAAAATATCAATAAATATAAAAAAATCAAATCAGAAAATTTATGAAAGCATCTTTTATGAGTTCAAAAATACTAAATAAAAAGCTGATTTAAAGATTTTCTGACAAACTTTCATGTTTTTTATTCTAATAGAAATCTGTAATTTTTTCTAAAAAAAAAGAAAAATCTGGATATTTTCAGGAAATTTTAAATTAGCAAAATTTATTAAAATTTTCAAAGCATACTAGTACAAATAATTATAAAACCAGAAATTCCAGTTTTGATTATTTTTCATATTTATTGGTTTTGTCAACTTCAGTAATCTTGACCTCTTGTACAAATAATATTAAACTGAGAAAATCATTTACAATTGTATTGTTCTCACTTGTGAAATTGAGAACAAACAAAATGTACTTAGATAGGAAAATATTTTTTTAAAAACATGTATTAATTTTCTTAAAAGTGCAAAAAGTTCGCTGAGAGCATGAAAACATCAAACTTTAAACGTTGCATGTACCTGAATTATTAAAATGATCATCGTACATGTAGATATAAATGAACGTTAATGAAAACAAGTTAAATCAGCCCACATTTCAAAAGACCAATAAAAAATCTCTGTGAGCAAAAATTAAATAAACATGTTCTGTTTTCAAAAGTACATGTATTACAATACTTTCAGCCGATTCCAATTTCAATTAGGTTCATGTGAATGTATATGTATCTCGAAATTATTACCGTTACATGCCAAGAGAGAATTGTGTTAAAACTGTGAACTTTACCAGTTTCAGAAACAAGTACATGTACATGTACATGAACCAGATACCTGATTCATACACGAATCATATTCATTCATGTCCTGACATGTACATAGTTTAAAATTTCTAATTCGCTTTGTTATCTAAAGTATATCAAAATAAATGGTTTATTTATATCAAACTGAATCATTTTAATAAGGATATAAGATTCCGAACTTTTATATAAAAAATCCTTGCCTTCTTCAATTTATAAACAACAACAAATAATTAAAATATCATACTGAACCAAAATAGAAGATAACAATATCACGCTTAACGAAATAGCAAATAACAATATTACGATGAGCCAAGTAGCAAATAACAATAACAATTGCTCTGATAAAACTACTCTTGATGGTATCGATATTTCCCAGTATGAAGAACTAAGGCCTCCCTATCCCCTTATGTTCGATGTAGAAGATTTATTTAAAAAGAATGATTATAAATATCGTCAAACATTAAAGACTGTAAATTCGTTTTTCATTTATCGGAAGGCTATGGTGAAGCAGAATGAAAAGGGAGGAAAGAAATGTGATATGCCAAAATTATCCAAGATTTCTTCTATATTTTGGAAACAAGAAGAAAAGCATGTCAAAGATGCATATAAACAATTAGCAAAAAAAGATCGAGATCTTTTCGCTAAACAAATCGACTCGCTACAAGCCATTAACGCTGGAAAGAGTTTAGGATTTCCTCAACCACAACTGCAACCACAAACAGCAGCTATCCATCCAAGATTTAATCCGATTCAAAATACATATAGTCTTAGCCGAAATTTAAACATTAATAATAACAATCAGCTTAATACAGCGATGCTTAATCGAATTGACCAAATCTTTCATGCTCGATTTGACCAAATCTTGCATGCTCGAATTGATGAACTCGTGCATGCTTCATTATCACAACGTAAATTATAACGATATATTTTTATTAGTTTTCGCATTTTGTTCCATGAACACGCCATAAATACACATAACTGTTCCCAACACTATGACTATAATGTAGATAAGCTTCACCTAATATCCTTCTAATTTTATTAAGACACATATTCGAACATTTATTTTTATCAATTTCTTTATGGCAAATGATTTCCCGTTAAACGAATATTTCAGAATATTGAAAAGCAAATTTTATATTAATTAAAGACATTTTTTTGAATTAGCTGTGTAAAATTGTAAATTTATTATTAATTAAAGTTTGTATAACTTTCTAATAAATTTCGTTTTATTTGACAATCTACATACAAAGTTGTATGCAAAACTTACAACGAATCATCATAATAACGGTAATGATTGATTATAATCTTTGCTTAGCAATGGTCCCCGAATTATAAATACACATTGACGTGAAAATTCATTTTTTACGCAACTTAGGTAGATGAATTCAATTTCAATAAATTCGATAATGAAAAAGCTAATTGTTGCTATAGCAATATTACATTCCGATGTTTACTCGTAAACAGCAATTTTCCCAATTTGAATATATCCAAAAAAAATAGGCAGCATAAAACCTATCGATTACAATCCTCTATTCAATCCAAGTGGTCAATGGTCGACGAACGATCGTCATTGTCTTAACGTCTATACCCCGCCGCCGAATTCTGTAGTCGTACCATTCTACGACGTGTGGATACGATGGAATAAAACAAATGAGTGTAGTGATCCCGTGACTCCACTGACAAACTTCATGTTCACTTTACACAATAATCCAAAAAATGAGAATAACGCCGACAGTCCGAAAATTAAATCGGAATGGGAACATCCTATCACTTTTAAAGTCAAAAAATATCAATATGAATGGGAAGTGCCATTGATTGAAGAAGGCGTTGTAAAGAATATGAGTTTATTTTACATTAGAGTATTAACTCATGCTGTTTTGAGTTCAGGCTCTTTTACTATGTCGGGTGTAGCTGGTCCATTAAATATATGAACTATGCCAGATAAAGAAAATAAGACATTACAGTGGCGCTCAAAAGTATTGCATCACCCGGACGATAAATTTCACGATATAAATAGGCTCATCAAATCAAGCGATCCGCTTCTTTTGATCGTTTTGATAAATAAAAGTAAAATCGAATTACTCAATAAACTAAATAAATTTATGAAAATTTAACCCTCCCAATTTTAATTATCACCTAGCATAACCACCCTTTGCATTAATTACATCTTCTTCATACTTTCAATTAGCTTCATTAAAATGCATTATCAATTTGATCCAAACTTTTTGTATTGTAACCCAGAGTAGGGATACCCAATTGACAAATGATGATCTATTTCATTCCAGAGATGCTTAATTGGGTTATGATCAGGTAATTGGGCAGGCCAATTTATATTATTATCATCAAATCATGATTTTGTCATGTGTTTCAGATCATTGTCTTGCTGAATGACAACATCATTTTTATTAATTTCATTTCACTGAATTATTTCTAAAAGGTTATCATTTAAGATTTCATGATATAAATTCTTATCCATATGACCATAAATGCATATGATATTATCAATGTCAAAAAATCCAAGACAATTCTAAATCATTATATTCCCATTCCCAAATTTTACTATAGGTTTTATATAATGCTCTTCTAAAGGTTCATTATCATATTTCCAGTAATAGTCGCATCCATCTGAATTGGCCGGTAAATATGCACCCCAAAATAGTTCGGGAGCTACTTTTTTTCGGAAGAGGAGTTTTTCGAGGGAAGCTGCTTCATCGGGTGGATAACCTATATTAATTAGTGTGGAATTTTTTTTATTCATCTGACCAGATGACTTGCTTCAATCATTAGTAGTCTAATAATGATATTTTTCACAAAATTTTAATTTGATGTGTTTTTTTGAGATATGGTTTAATTTGTGAAGAAAGACCATTATGATATATAGTTTACTTTATTGTGCTTGTGCTGACATCAATTTTATCATCATTTTTTAATTTTTTGAATAGATATTATATTAGGAAAACTACCATTCAAAATTAGACATATAATATTTTGCACATCACATCCAGGATGACCTGATTTTGGTAAATCTTTAAAGATATTATGAGTATCTTTTTTTGCTTTATTCTTATAATGGTGGATTGGGAAATATTTTCACAATTTGCAATATAACAGAATGAATATTCTTTAAGAAGGATATAAATTTGGGATCTTTTTTTGATGGGAATATGTGCCATAATGATTTTAATTATATGAGATAAAAGAGTTAATTCATAAATGTATTTTATTTATAGGAGGTATGTTTTGTTTTGCTGTGTGTTTTTTATTCATTTATATATTTATTTTGAGGGGGGAACGATCAAAAGAAATGCATCATCAGTTTAGCGTAATAAAGTCCAAGTTAAGCAAAGTGGTGTTACATTTATTCTTTATATTGCATGTACTCTATATGTGGGCTAAATTTCATTTACTTGTGGCGTCTATATTGCTAAAAATTCCACGATTCGTTTTTCGTCCTAGTGATGCATTACTTTTGAGCGCCACTGTATATGCGCCATCTACACAAAAATCTAATAAATCAGAACTTGGAGAATATTTTTAAAATTAATCTCATTTTTCAGTAATTTGTTATCATTTGTAAATAAAGTTTTGATAATTTTTAACATAACGAGGAAAGATTAAATTGAATATTATCATTGAATTTCAAAAATTTCGCAATGAATTTATAATCACTCAGAATATAATGAATTCCTGTAAAATAACGATCGTAAGTAGTATCGATATCAAATTATTATCTAAAATCTGAGTCTTTCGTTCTATTTTTATGAAAATAGAGAAATATTCATATATATGCATAGCAAAGTATGGTTTGAGTAGAAAAAGAATGTCTAAATACAAGAATCTTTTTACGCAAGCTATTTTATTTGCTCGATGATAATAATGTTAGTTAGATCACGATTTAATAATTTAAATGTTTATTTATATCGAAAGTGGCAAATACTTGATCTTTCAGAATGTATTGTTGCTGTTCCAATAATTTATGATTAATTAAACTAGCCTGTTATTACCGTTTTGATAGTCTAATCCAAGTCAACCAACCGTTCTTCAAGCGTGGATTTCCCAAGTGAATAAATAAATACATAATTTGTATGCACATTAGCGATTTTAAATGCAAATAGCACTGGGCAAAATTAGCAATAATTTATGATTTACTTATCATAATATACCGATACAAAATTCATAAAAATTCAGTATACGAACTGAATTTTCGGAAAGTGATTCTCAACAAGTAAAAAAAACTACGTTCCATATCATCAGATACCGGGAGTCAAATATACAATATGGCTTAATTAGGTAATAACCTGAAAAACACTGGTGATTACACTGGAAAAGATTCTATCTGACCAATAAAATTTTGGAATGTAGTAAAAGGAGCAGTTCCAATTAACAATTTTATATTATACATATATGTATGTATTTCGTGTAAGATAGATCAATTATTTAACATGGAAGGAATGTAAATTATGGATACATAGACAAACCAAAATGTAGTACTCTGAGAAAATGTTGATATCAGAGACTACTTACAGCTTGCAAATATTTAGCAGATGATTACTCTAAGGATTTATAAATTTCGTATCGACATCAGGAAATGAAATACAAAAAATCTATAAGATTGTAATTTTCAAGTCTAAATAAATTTAAATGTCTATATCTGTAGTGTCGTCCAGATGATGACGCAGGTTTATAGACCCAAATAATCTAATTGCCAACAAATTTTAAGCCGAGTGCACTAATATTATTATTAAAAAATTCGAAAACCTTTATTTTTATAATCTGAAATGAAACCCAACATCAGTTATCGTTATAGGCGCTCTATTATTTCCTAAAAATAATTTAAAAATTATATAACGGTTTTCCTGGCCTATCAATCTAACCGAAAATACTTAAATCGGAATCTCGCCAATTTTTAATATCATGAGAATCTTCAAAGCTTATCAATGAAATATATATTTTAGAAAGTTTGTGTATCATTCTACTCAGAAAATATTGTTTTCTCGAAAATTACAACTTTCAATAGATAACGCAATACATGTACATGTACATGTACATGTAATCATGCGATCGTCCATTTCGATTCCAGACTTTTGTCAAGTACTTATTATTTAAAAAAAATTTGTGCAAGAAAAATGCTCTATTAAGAATAATCGGCTACTTTTCAAAGACATTCCATCATACATTGTTTGATTTCGATAAAATTTATTGTTTAGAAGAAATTTGAGAAAGGAAAAAGAAATCCGAGGTTTGGCAAAAAGAACAACCTATCTTACGCTCACCTAATAAAATAATATCCATAAAACAAAATTCAATATAAAGCAGTTGTTTTGGTCTCTTGTTTTTCTCATCGCATGGATGATTTTGATCCAAATATCACTCATGAAAATGCTCGCTTTTCTCATCATTATCAAAGCATGAATGATTTTGTTTCAAATATCATTCATAAAAACAATAAGATATATCTATCTATTAAATATAGAAATTACGAGCACACAATTTGCTTAGAACCTAACGGAAAGGAATTTAACAAATTACTAAATTCAAAATCAAGCGACAAGAAGATAGCAAATCCCTATTTTTTATTTAGAACTTATTTGTGCTGTGAAGAGCCAACGTACCCGATATCAGATAAAGTTAATCACGTTACCTTTAATTCGAAAATTAACAAAATTCTGTAGAATACTCATAAAGGATCATTGAAGCGAATTTTTGCAAATTTATACAATGAATTAAAAGAAAAGAAAATTAAATTGTGAGTTTTTTTAACTTTTTTTGTAAAAAATTATGCAAAAAGATTTATAAATAAAATTCATGCAAAATATAAAAAAACAAAAAACACGCAGAGTCAAAGTTTAGACGTTTCTATTAAAAAAATTATCCTAAACAAAAATTTTTCTATGCCTACGTCGATTTCTTCGGCTTCTCAAGGAAATTTGGAACCATACCCTAGACAATATTTACTTGATTCAACAGTTCCAGCTCAATCAAATACATTTTATACACCAGTAATAGTAATGACTAGCGAAAATTTGGAACCATGCCTTAGACATGATCCTATTAATTCAGCGGCGCCAACATCAGCTCAACTAGATATACATGGTTTATCTGGAACAACGCTTGCTTTTTCAGAATTTTAAGGAAATTCGGAATTATGCACCGGATATACTCTTATTGATTCAGCGGACTCGTTAGTTCAATTGAATACATTGGATTCCGAATACTCGACATACACTAGACAAGATTTTATTAATTCAACGGCACCAATGTCAGTTCAGTTAAATACATCCGAATTAGCATTGGATCTTATTAATTCAACGGTCCCAACTTCAGCTCAATGGGCATACCTGATACATCCCGAATTAGCATTAGATTCCGAATGCTTGACAGTATCTTATTAATTCAACGGTCCCAAAGTCAGTTCAATTAAGTTCACTTGATATATCCGAATCAGTGGTTTTCGAAGATTCTTTTAATTCAACGGTTTCAGCACCGGTTCAATCGGGATCATTTTATGTATCCGAGGTCCTTTCAACATTCCGCAAGGTTTGAATGCCTCTATCGTGTAGTGGAACTGGTTCTAACTCTTTAAAAACAGAATTCCCAAATTCAAATTTTTATTGGAAATAAAAGTTGTTTTATTACAAAAGCTTGCAAATACTATTATTAATTTTATTTTGTTAAACTCATAATAACTACAAAAAGTTATATTCCTCTTGTACAATTGCAGGCCTATTCCGTTATCACAAAATATAGTTGTATCTTAGTAGCAAAGCTTTTTTTATAAATATTATTTTTATTATAATATACAGTGGCGATCAAAAGTAATGCAACACAAAATTGAAAGTTGTTAAATCGCGATACCTTTGCACAGACTTGAGAACATCAAATTATAGTTGATAGATTTAATTACGTATATGCAATAGCTTAAATATAATAAATTCAATGTGGACTATTAAACCAATTATATCACAATCACAATATTTATTCAATATTTAGTGTTGCATTATATTTGCTCATTTTTAATATAAATTTGTATAATCCTTAATATAAATAAAAACATCATATTTTTTTATATTTTAACTATATCCAATATACTACCATCTAGTATAACCACCATGTGCTTTTATTACATCTCAAATTCTTTCTTGCATAGAACAAATTGTGTAATAAGTCACATCAATTTCCTCCCAAAACCAGCTGTATTTTTTCCTATAAGTTTTCCATACCTGAAATTGATTCAGGAAGACACTGAAGATGACAATCTACTTCATTTCATAAATGTTCAATTGGATTTAGATTGGGTGATTGTGCCAGCTAATCTAAAATATTATTATCATCAAATCACTCTTTTATCAAATTGGTTATATGTTTGAGATCATTGTCCTGTTGAAAAATGATCTTATTGATAGCTAATCTATGCTCTTTAATAGTATTTATAAGATCTTCAAGAATTTGTCAATATAATATGCCATTCATATTTCTATCAATCTTACAAAAGTTAATAACATTGCAAAAGATAAAACAATTCCATGCCATTACTTTTCCACCATTAAATTTATCATATAAATACTTTTTAATAACTCATCTATTCTTTTCAAATAGTATTATTTTTTATTAGATCCAAAAATCTGAAACTTAGATTTATTAGATCAGATTATCTTTGACCAATCTTTATAGTTCAGTTTTTATATTTTTTGACAAACTCAAAATAATATTAGACTTCAGATATAATTTTGAATGGTAATAGTAATAAAATGAATTATTATTCTTTTTAACTAGTTATTTAATAACTGTAAATAATCAAACTTATTTATATCATTTAAAATATGCTATTTATATTATTTTTTATTAATATATAAGATAGTAAAAGAACTAATTTTATAAGTTCTTGCTATTTTTCTTATAATCTATCTATTTTGAAATGAAATAATTATTATATTCTTTCTTCAAGAGTTATATAATATTTTGATATTTATTTTTTATTATTAAAAAGTTATAATATAATTTAAGAAAAAAAAGATAAATAAAATATTTATTTTATAATTTTTATATAGTATTTATTTACTATTTGATTTTTTGAATAAATAAAATATTTATTTTGTAATTTTTATATAATATTTACTTACTATTTGATTTTTTGAATAAAAAATCAAAAGAAATACAATACTTACTTATATAAGTTCATATATTTATCTCAAAATTATATTTAAGTATAATAAATTAAATTTTAATAAATAAAACTGATACTATCAATATATTATATTTATTAATTTTATTTAAATTTTATTAATTACTTATAAATATATTATGATTTAACAATTTTCAATTTATATTATATTACTTTTGATTGTTATTATATATAATATAGTAACTGTTAAAAATATACCTCTCTCTTACTCTAAATTAATGAGTAGATAAGATAAACAAAAAATCTTTTTTTTATTTAAAAGCTCTAATTTTATATACTAAGATTAATATATAATATAATTGCTTTCAGTCTTAATTAAAGCTTTTATATAATTTCTTATACTTAAAACTAATTAAATTATATATTTTTTAGGCAAATGATACTATTCTTTTTATAATTTTCCCTTTAAATCTTTAACAGAATTTTTTTGTCAGATTATTTTTCATGAGTTTCCAAATATTTTCAATTATATTTTGATCAAAAGATATTGATAATCATGAAAGAATCTTTATATTTATCTTCTTTTTCCATATCTTCATAATTTTTAAATAATACTTAAAATTATTATCTTTTTAAAGAATTTACTGATTATTTTTCTGATCAAAAAGTTTATTAACAGATAGCAAAAGATTTATTTCATATATATTTAATAAAAAAGTAGTATTGAGATTTCTCACAAAGCAAATCAACTTGTCAAAGCTTATAAATAAAAAATATTCTTATACATGAATTTTTAGAAAATACTTCACAGAATAGCTTATTTTTCTTCTTTTAGAAAACTGCCAAATCTATTTTATATCTTGATTTAGATAAAAGATACTTTTATCTGAAAAAATTATCTTGTTTTAGTCAAAGTTTCTATATTTTTTACTTATTTCAATTATTTTTGCTAATATTTCTTTATAAGAAGAGATTTTAAAAGCTTACTTATGTATTTATCTTTCTTTTTATAAAGATGATATTATATAGTATATATACTAATATCAATATTTTGCTTAATCATTTTCTTTTGAATTTCTAGAACTATTATATTAATTTTTTTTTTTGCAAGTTTCACTATTTATTTATCTTATCATTAGATAATCACTTTTTTGTTAATCTTTCTTTGATTTATCACTTAAGTCTTGATTTTCTTCTCATCTTTAGATCTAATAATAGTGTTACCATAGTAGCATAAAAATTACTAATTCCTTAATCTTTTCGTGATTATGCAAAATCACATTTTCTTATAACTTTTATATTTTATAATTATTCCTATATTTTTATATCATATAACTATCCTGTATTACTGTATTTATTATCATATTTCTATATTTAGATATTATCTTATTTTTAGTTAGGATCTGCATTTTTATTATTTTATATTACGATATTTATGTACATAGTAGAATAGTGTAGTGGAAAACTATTTTTAATTTTGATGAAATAGTTACATTTGGATGATGATCTCAAATATCTTTCCATATCCTTTGATATCCTTTAATATTCTCTCACGTCCTTTCATGTCTTTCCATGTTTTTCAATATCTTTTCACATCTTTTCATATTCTTTCACGTACTCTGATATTCTCCAACATTCTTTAACATCTTTTAACGTACTTCGACATAATCCACTTATAAATAGTATTTTAAATTATAACATGTATATTAGATAGTATTAGTTAGTAATACTATAATAATTTT